CAAATTGTTGTTCATCCGAGGAAGAACGGTGAGCAGATAGTAGTAAAAATTCATAGATAGGTAAATGTAGTAATTGATAAAGATTCTTATTATTTATCAGGTGGTTTATGGGAACAAAATTAAAACGATCAGGAGCTCGATACCTTTTTCCAGTGTTTGACGACACGTTGCATAAGTCAATATTTTCCGTGTCTGTGATACATTTCAGAGAATCGAGAGTCCTCTCGAACATGCCCCTTAGGACATTAAGAGATACGTGAGTAACAGTGTTTAACAAATTTTAATTATTTTTTTTTAATACCACTCTTATTAAATATCAGAGAATACTTAAAATCCTAAAATCTGAAAATAAAGATCTGTTTCTTCATTCTGTATAAAGGAAATCGTAATAACTAGTTTCATATTTATATTATTTCAAGTTCAAATGTATCGGTGGTAATTGACACCTTTGACGAGTCTCCGCCACTCTCACCCCATAATCTGGCTTTTCTAATGGGTCACATCGAGTCGATAGGCGTGACATTCGCAGGAAATTCCGACGTGGTGGTTACATTTTGGGGTGAATCGAACAGACAGTCGCAAGGAATTTACGTTTTTGATAAATTCAATCAAGCTGTTACTAATTTAATTGACGTGTTCTCGATGCCATATCCTTTACCCAAGTTGGATGTGGTAGGTTTACCCTCAGGTATCGACGAAAATATGGCTAATCCAGGACTGATTGAAATGAAGTAAGAACCTCCTTAATTCTTTTTTCACTTTTCACTTCTTTTTAACTTCCAAAACTATGAAAATCATCAAGAGATAACTAATGATATTTAATAATTCCATTAATGGTAATAAAATTTTCAAGACAGTCGCTGTTTTATGCCAGCGAAAATTCCTCAATGGCTCTAAAAACCAATGCTCTAAGGGTCCTCGTCGATTTGCTGGAACAGCAATGGACCAGCGAGTTCACGAACGCGAATCGAACAGATGCATGGATCTTCGAAGGATCGATGATCTACTTTCAACAGGAAATCGTTCGAAAGGCAAGCGATCGGATTATGTAAAAGTAAAATGAAAAACCGTTTTGATAAAATTCCATTTCCAGATAGATTCGTTATCGATCGACTTCTTCGTTGGCGACATTCAATCGCATTCCATGGAGATCGATGAGTACAGCATCTCGAGACCTCTTCACGAAAACGTTAATCATCGATCGTTGCACTCGCTCGACGATGAGTATGCGAAAGGTAAACGAATGAACCGATTCAGCGTTAACACCTTATCGATGGACGATGCTTTTTATAGCAAATTGAAATTATAAATTTTGCTAAATGACACGTTGCCTACCAGTTCATTCGCTATTTAATCAGGCTTCTCTAAGGAAAGTACTAAACCAGCGACCTTTTTATAAATATCTACCATCGACACCAAAAATGAAGAATTTCCAGTTTTTTATTTTTATACCACCATGTTAGATATAAGTAACAACCGAATTGATCTCATCGATAAGGTGTTAAATTTTGGAGATACCGTTAGTTAAGAATGGTTTAGCATTTTTGAATTGCTTCTTGTAGGTGCATGTCTGATACGCATGTTGCATGGCGCGATAAACGATACAGCGTTTAGGAACGGCTACAAGAAACTGATAAGCAGGTGGTGGGTATATATCGTTCGCGAGGAACTTTCAGCGTTTCATATCTTTTCTTTGTTACCTATTTCTAATGGGTTCGGATCCACTTGGGTAGATTTATTCACACCGGCAGAAGCAGGAATTATTTATATTAGACTCTCGTTATATTGCCGCTTCTATGCAACGCGTCTACTATACTCGTTTATTTATAAAATTTTTCTGCTTACGGTCCCTAATGATTGACGTTGGAATACGAATTAAAGCTACAATCTACGATTAATCAACACCTCAACGAATAATAATAGCGTTTTAATATTTTTCCTCTTGTTATTTTCCGTTTATTACCTTAATTAATCACAGAGTGATGCGTATATCAAGATGCAAAGCGAGAAAATTCTGTTACCTGAATAATTGTGTAGTAACGTTCATTTTACGTAATTACGAACATTCCATTAGTAATTATTCCTTATCTTCGAAGATTTAGTAACGTATAAGATTTTGTTATTCCTTTAGGAAATATAATACCACCGAGGTTGCTGATTTCTTGAACTTCATGCAAGAAGAAGCGAGTGGATTGCCTTCTGAAATGTCGTTGGAGGAAGCAATGAATTCTTGGATTTTTCAAGGTGGATACCCCTTAATCACTGTTATTAGAAATTATGAAAAAGGATCTGCCATTCTTTATCAGGTAATACATAACGTTTAATACCATCAAGGTATTTTAGTATCAAGTTCAATATGAAAATGATCAAAATCGAAATTTTTAATGATTTTTTGGATTTTTTAAATTATTTATTATTTTAGGAGCAATTTACTTTGGACAGGCCACTGGAAAGTATTTCCAAATTTTGGCACGTCCCACTTGATTACATCCAAGAAGATGGAGACTGGTCGTCTCCCACAAAAATATGGTTTCAATCGGAACCAAAAATTAAGTTAGATAATATTAATTTAAACGAATCATGGATCCTATTTAACGTAAACAAAACGGGTATGTTTTTTATTTAACATGAATAAAACAGATCGACTCCCATGTTTCTTAAGAATTCTTTATCCGATATTCTTGAAGGCTATTACCGTGTCCATTACGACGAAAGAAATTGGAAGCTGTTGAAAATGGTGCTTCAAGATAACCATGAGCTGTTTCCTCCAGAAACTAGAGCATCACTTATAGATGACGTTTTCAGTTTGGCTGCGGTGGGCTTAATGAAATACGAAGCTGTATTCGATTTTATTAAATATATGCAAACGAAGGAAAGGCATTATCTACCTTGGACTGTGCTGATGCGACATACCTTTAGATTGAACAGACTTCTGTACGAAACTACCGCCTTCAGTGACTTCCAGGTCAATAGATAAAAGAATTTTTTAACAAAATTATTTATATTTTTTATTATTTCTGACGAAAATGAAATAAATGTGCAAGCATGAGAAAATGGAAGAAACAGTGGCTACATAGAAGACTTTGTAGTTTATCTTTTTTTCAGGTATTCATGATAAAATTCGTGTCACCATTGTACAATGAAGTGGGATCGTCGCTGAAAGAAGGTTCACAGCTACCATTGGTTGCTGTAAAAATGGCGTGCATGTTCGAGCATCCTCAGTGTCTAAACTGGTCGAATAATGTCTTTGAGAATATAAAGAATGACACTGAACTTTATGAAATGTAAGTTTAAATAATATTTCAATAATATTTTCCTCCTCTCTACTTTATTGATCGGCTCTCGGTTTCTATTAAATTGTATTTCAGTGTTCCTTCGCATGTTCGTGAAACCTTCTATTGCACTGTTGCTCGTTACGGAACACGAAGGGAATGGAGTTATTTCACGGAAAGGATAACGTTAACGGAAGACGAAGAGGAGAAGAAACGATTGTTATCGGCGTATGCTTGTTTCCAAGCTCCGTGGATCTTACAATCGTGAGTGAATTTATTTTCAGATCACTTTACAAAGCTGTTTCACTTCTTTTTCCGAAAAACATAGAATTTATTATAATAACGGTGCTAATAAAAAATTGTTCGTCAAGCACTTAGGAAGTAGATACACGAAAAATATTTAAATTCCATGAGATGAAATTGGAAAAATTGATTACCCTTATTTTAATTCATAACATTATTTCATTTTCGTTTTAATCAGCATTTTGAACGAAATCGTTCATGAAGAACTATTCCAAGAGGATGAAGTAGCAGTAATTTTAAAGTCGTTCCCTAGAAATCCAGCAGCAGCTCAAGCTGCGTCTCGATTCGTTCGTGCAAATTGGCATGAAATTACGCAAAGGTATGTTGAAATTTTTCCAAGATAAAAAGAAAATTTTTGTAAACGACGAAATCGCGTTTAACAACATTATTTTGTTGATTTAGGTTTCCCGGATCTTATTCGTTGCTGAGAACTTTTGTGTTATCAATGATTAATGGTGTTACCACAGAACAAGATTTAGAAGATGTAAGAAAATATTGAAATTAAGTTTGCAGTCTTTCAATGATTTTGTATATTTATTTACAGTATTTTTATTTTATTAAATATTTTAGCTTCAACTATTTAGGGAGAATAATTACGAAAGTATGAAAGGAGCAAGGTATGGAGCAGCACTTGTTGAAGCGAATGGAAATTTTGGGACGTTGTGGTTGAAAAGTTTTTTGCCTGAATTTGAAAAATTATTGAAAGAAGAAGTCATCGATGAAGCTTAAACTTCGTGAGAATAACTAATTACTGTAAGTGAACACATTTTCAAATTTCTAAATTTCTAAATAATATCCAAAATTTTCAAAAATATTTTGTTCATTTACAGTTGATCAAAAATGATTCGAGCAAGAACAGTGCGATTTTAGCATACAATGTAAAAGAAATAACATTTAGAAAATAAATTTATTATTAGATGCTTTGTCTTCCCGACATACGTCAGCATACGCCCTTATAAACGTGTATCCTGCAGTAATTTGGGGATGGATTTGACGGCGGAACAAAGACAGCAGCAGTAACAGGTATGATAGGGGGGTTGTTCTCCTACAGCAGGCCTGGGCAACATCGGTTCCCCCACTCCTAGCATGCCGTTTCCCCCACTCCTAGCATGCCGGTTCCCCCACTCCTAGCATGCCGGTTCCCCCACTCCTAGCATGCCGGTTCCTCCACTACTAGTCTATCGGTTACCCCACTCCTAGTTCGCCGTGGCGTGAGAGAAGAAGGAACCTAGGAGAAATGGTTTGTAATCCACGGTTTGGTAAGTAGTTTCTCGTTATATTGCCGCGGACAGGGATGTCGTAGTAGAAAAGTCAAGCTTTCGAATTCCCTATGATAGTAGAAAAGCGGCATTAGTAAGTTAAGGTCAAATTACTTACGTAGCAATATACCGAGGGACTGTATTCTTTAAAGTAAACTGAAAAGAATTTCTACGACAACAAGTTTTATTTTTCAAATGCTTTCATCAAGCATGATTACAAAACCAAGCAACAAGAATCTCGTTCTTACATCGTGTAGTCTTAAGAACGACGGTCGTCGATAATTCATAGGTACATATTTAACAAACGATATACATGGTAGTTGTATCTAACGATAATAATCGATACTCGATTATTTTTCTCCGTTACAATTTCTCTCAGCTCGTTAATCGTCTCATTTTTAATAGCTCTATTGCTATATAGCACATTCGTTTTGCTAGAATTATATCTTGTAATAATGTAATCGTATCGTTATCCTTACTCGTCCTTAGCCTACTACGGTTTAGCTAATGTTTCTCGATTACAGAACATTTTAGCTACCTTTCGTTACGTGACGCGTGAAAATGTGTTTAATGGTCGAAGATCGGGACGCGGGTGTCGATTAAAAACGAGTGCGAGCAATTAACTCGCGACGAAGTGATGACTTGGAGGCGACAAATTCATCAAATTCTATCTTTGTCGCTTCCGCAGTTACAAATGAGTCTCGATTCAGTAGATCAATGAGACAATTGAAAAGAGCAGATTTCGCGATGACTGATTTTTTGGTTGAAACGGTTCTTCTTCAATCTTTATTGTCATTGTACGATTTATAGGCTTGTCGCGCGTTTACTTGGCACAGTAAAATACGTGTAGTAGGAGATGTAAATGAGGAATGTACAGTGAATTCATCGAAAGCTTGATGGTATTTAACCCTCGGACAGCAGTGCTGAGCTATTTAATATGTTCTGGCCCATTTTCGGAAAAATTCTGAATAAATTCTTATAATGTTTTAAAGCCAAATTGCAAAATCGGGTTCCGTACGATGCTGTATGATTGTATAAAGAATATTTTAAAAAAAGAATCATGAGAAAATATTGCTTCTCAATTTCAAAATCTTTGAACTACGAAATCGATAAATTTGGACCTTTTTATGCCAACATGGCGGTCTAGAGTTTCCCAGTTTCGCCACTAGAGGCCCTCAGGATCAATTTGGACTTGGGCCGTCACTTATGTTCACTGCTACTCCGCTAGAGGTGTTAGTATCAAAGCTAAAATGTGAAATATAAAATTTTACTTTTACATATATTAAAAAAATGTAACTATTAGTTTATGTTTGACCCAATGTACGACTGTCCGAGGGTTAATTGAATCGTTGTCAAAATGAGATGTGTAAATGCGATTCAATTTCTTTTCTCCTAAGTTTAATACTTTTAGTGAGCTTTGATTGGTCTACTTAATTCCTCGGCATTTCGCGCAATATCTTCTCAATTAGAAGCTTCCAAGCCTAATAGAAGAATTGTGGACAAATCCACCCTCTTTCATCATCACCGAATCCTCGTTTTTCGTCGATCCTACGAGAAGTATAAAATTCCTTAAAAACGTTCATACTTTAACGAAAGAACTATCTTCGGTTTTCAAAAGTTACAGCATTCTTAAATGCTTTCGTGCAAAATTGAAATCTAGATAACACCTTATCAACAGGGACATAATCTAATACCTAAAGGATTTTAAAAAATATTATTTCTATAACTTTGAAATATGAAAATTATATTATGAAATAATTAATCTGTTCGTAGTTATGATTTATTTGATTCAAAATTATTTAAATATTTTAACACGTTCAAGTCCATTGGGGTAAATCTACTCGTAGCAAGGAGGCTCTCTCCATGGTCCGCCAAAGGTTGAAAAAGTATCAAACTTCTAATAATTTAATTTACGACCTCTGAGATGCTCCTACTACCTCAAGCCCTAACGAGTAAATTTACCATCTCTCTTTATGGTAATTGAACCATACCCCTTACCTCGGGTTCGAACGTGTTAAAATGATAGGAGACAATGTTTCCTGTCGACAAGGTGTCAAGTACTTTAAAATCATGGAAAATGTTCGAAAAGATCTTTAGTTTCCAGAAACACCCGCATAACGATCGTGTTTGAAGTGTGCGCAGTTTTATTCAAATTTCGCTCGACATACGGGGGAGGAAAGTTCTTTTCACATTGAAAGATTGTGCTTCAAGGAACGATTCGAGCGTCGAATGTATCGCGATTTTACTCTAGTTTAGTCGATACGAACTAACTGAAAACATACAAACGGTAATTGACTCCTTGCCTCACGATTTTCTTTTCTTATTTATGTTAAATAAAAATTACAATGTATAAATAAATAATATTGATGCGATTCCGTAAGACAAGGGGTCAACAATGCATACTTAAACAAACTACCGTACAACGAAACAATGAACTTTTTATTCGAACTCGAAGCATTTGTGTGTGAAAATTTGAAAATACTGTATTTATAATACTGACTGAAAGTTAACCCTTTACGCTCCTGGGCACGAACCTAATTAAAGTGCCATTGCCTAGAATAATTCTGAAATTATTTTTAAATAAATTAGACTTATTGAAACATCATGTTTAACACGTTCACCTTGGGAAACCGTCCCCGTCGTTCTAGAGGAAAATTAGTGACAAAATTGTTATTTTAATCTTGGACGACCACCTTGACGTCTTATGACGCTATCCGGCTGAACGTGTTAACATGTATATAAAGAACCGCAAAACACTAAAAGAAGAAAGCAAATTAGACGAATCTTCTAGATATTATCTCGACTTGTTCGTTGTTATAAGATCAGCGTTAATTATCGGCCATCATTGCGATGCGATAATTTCTGAACAATTTGATGGGACTCTTTCGTGCAACCTGTGATCCCAGTTTTTTGAAACAGTGTAAAAAACGTTCGATCGCTTTATAGCCTCTGTTTTACGTTACGCTTAGCTATGTACACGTTATTTACACCTTAATTATTACATATCCCTTTCTACTTTCGCTAATAGAACCTAGAGATACGGCGCACTTGTTTTCCGTTTCACAGACCTGAACAACGATTAAACAACTACTGCGACAGGTTAACAACTGTTCAAACATCAGAGTAACAATAGCCGACCATCGATGGAATTGCATATGAAATGGCCGATTTATTTACAAAATGTCCAACAGCTATAACTTCGTATTATTATATTTTTTAAATAAAAATCTGTAGATTTTGTCCAGGGAAACTTTAGACATCGCGTGATGTCCCTATCTGTAACTTCCCTTACGCATTGGTCTTCAAATGTTGAGTTATTTTGCAGTACCGCTAATATCATCAAATTGTATCAAACTTTTTATGTTTCGAATTCGGCCATTTGATATGCAACAACTTAAGGGGTATCCTCCATTTCAACGCACATTTTTTAACACGACTTTTGCAAATTTATTTAACAACTTACGCTTAATTTACGGGGTTCTTTTATATTCATATTCAAACGTGTTTGAAGTAATATTGAAAATTTATAATTATAGCTAATTGTGCAACCCTTGTTGCAAACAAAAATTTAACTAGTTAAAATATCAGACTTATTTTCATTCTTAAAAGCACGGCTGCAATCGGTGTCTCCAACTTTCTTTATGTTAAAAAATATATCATTTCTACAGGCAACAGCAGTCAAAACTTTTTGTAAAAATCAAACCTTTCTCTTCAAAGTGCCATTTTTGTTTTTTTAGGATGAAAGAGATAACGATTATAGCTGCGCTTTTAATAATAAAAATAAGCTTCTGATATTTTAACAAACAAGTGTACTTTAAGTGGCGCAACTATAATCGTCTGATAGGGTGGTCGACAAATTTTGTTAATTGATTTTTGTTTATTAAAAAAGAAAAACGTTTTTAGTTTCTTGGATGGTGGACCATGGAGAGAGCCCCGCTTATAATTCTATTTCATATCCTGTGTTTTGTAAGTTTGGGTCTAATAGTTAATAGGGAAGTTAATTGCTCATGTTACCACCCTTTCCCCCTCCCCCCCCCCAGTTGCGCTACAGTTCTAAAATGTCAAATACATTTGAATATAAATATAAAAAACTGTACATATTAAGTTCTTATTAAATAAATTCACAAAGATAACTGTTAAAACAGGGGTATCCCCTTAATACTATTGTCAATGTGGGACTTTAATTGTACAGCTGCTTCGACACACTGATCGCGCATAATTATAGTGTTTAACACTTGTAAACGAGTAACTGGACTCTATCATAGAAAATGTGTGCGTTCTTCCCTATCGTTCTAGTGCAAAGTAAACTTCATTTATTTTTCTTCTCCTTTCTGAGTCTAGAATCGACGACGTGCTTCGGCGTTCACTGGACGATTTTTCGATCAGGTAGCAAATACTTTTACACTTGTCATTCGATGACTACATGCTTCAGCCTCGATCAATCGGTAACCATTTTTCACGAACATTCCCTTGAATGCATTTTATTTCAAAATCTGGATACCGATTAATAAAGATTCGGCAGAGATAACCGATACAACGGCTCGAAACGTTAGTCACGCTAACAACGCTTCCTAATGGCAGTATTTACGGAACCGATATTTACCCTACTATAAAATGTATGTACAATTCAACGTGACATAAGGCATCGTGCCTTGATGCGTTAAGACTAGAATTCTCAGCCACGAAATATGCCTGAAAACGTCGAAGAGTCGGTGGTTTGTCGAATCGAATAAAAGATAAACGAAGCCAGTAAATCAGCTGACCATTTTTATTGTGAAAAATTAGCTCGAATGAACCGCGGATTCTTCGACGTCGAATTACGTTTCCCGCGAATATCAGTCCGCTCGCACGAGGCGTTTTAACCGGGTGATTTCCTAAACGAAAACGGAAACGAAATCGTGACAACTCACAGTGACACATCAACCACGTACTACGAGATTGAACAACGACCTGAACGGCTGTTCAATCGGCTACAACTATCAGCTTTAGAATTCGTATGCTTTACTTCTTCTTACTGTACTATTAGTTAAGTATTACTTTAACGTTTCGTGTGTTTCCATCTTTGTTACAAAATACATAATATTTCTACAGAGGCGAATTACGGTGTGTATGCAACGAAGATGTCCGTCAAAATCGTCGATGAACGAAAGAAAATATGATTTATGAGAAAATAGGAGTACAATACAGATTCTTGAGACAGCCTTCGAATTTGTCCAAGTTGTATCTACATTGGTACATTGAAATAATTAGTATAACTATCACGCCTGACTGGGTTGACGACCTGCCAGTATGTTTGGCGCGACAGTGTGCGTTGAGCTTGTCGTCTTATGATGTCATCCGGTTGATGATTTCAACTAGTCTGGAAACTTTAGATTTCATCCAAACTGAATATTCTAATGCATTCAGACCTATTACACGCTTCAGACGCGTATATTATTTATTTGAAATGACGGAATGACTGTGGTAGGCACTTTGGATCAGCTTAGAACGAACTGAACAAAGTATAATTACGTTTTGTCATCTTTGGAGGATACTTCTTAATAAGGTCGCCACGTTAAGGCTTTATCAGTGACGTTATGTACAACTATATGTACTAATACGACTTGTATAGTATGGAGGATAGTAGGCTTCCCTAGGGAAAATGACGTTACAAGGGAAGAAGAAATTTTCAGAAGCTTAATTTTGACGATATTAGTATTAAAAGTGATTTAGGATAAATATTATAAAATTTAGTATATACTTGAAGAGTACAAATAATGAAATAAACGTCAATTCAAATTTTCCCGCGTATACGTTTACACGCAAGTGGTGGGGAGCTAGGAACCTATATACATATACAGGGCCTCCTCCTATACACTGTCATACCTGACCCATTCTCAAGAATCTGTAATTTGTATGACAAATAAAAACGACTGTTTACGTTATAATAATTCACATACTTATTCGCATACTTGAACATTTTAGGAAATGTGATAATTTCATATTTTGTTCCTGAAGATTGTATTAAATATTCACAGTGTCTATCGTTAAATGAATAAAATGTAATTATTTTACATAAATAAATGTTACTCGTATGCGAATAAATTTGTGATTTAGTTAATATTCAAGAAACGAGGATAATCATAAAATTCGGAGAACACAAATCACAAGCGACACTTCGACGCACGTACACAGAAACGATCACCCTCCTCCGTTTTCCTTAAAGATACATTCGTATAAACGGTTACGTTTCTAAATGTTTAAAGCTAATCGATTATACGTTAAGTTACGGGTTAAATTCGTGTCGTACAACGAGCTACCTACGATCGTGATGCCTAGAATAATTTCTCTTAACGTGTCGGATAAACGGGATATACAAAACACGCGATCGTACCAACAATTTTTCAACCCTTAGCCCCTGGGAACCGATCGATTTCGACAGCAAAAATTTCTTTATGAACTATATTGGTCAACGGGAGTGACACTAGCACCTCTAGCGGAATGCCAGTAAAATATGAAAAAGTAATTCTGATAAAAGGCCAACTTACAATTACAAATAGCCAAATTACAAAATCGGGCTCTGTACGACGCTATATAATTGTACAAAGAATATTTTTAAAAAAGAATCATGAGAAAATATTCCTTCTCAGCTCCAAAGTCTTTGAATTCCAAGTCCACTAGCGAGAGGATCACACAAATCCTCCAGAGTTTCTCAGTTTCGCCGCAGGAGGCCCCTAAGATCAGTTTCTATTTGGGCAGCGACTAGTGTTCACTGCTACTCCGCCAGAGGCGCTAGTGTCACTCTCGTCGATCCTCAAGCGTCCCGGTTGTTCGATCAGAACCGGCAAGGGCTTGAATTAAATTATTATTACAAGTACTTTTAATTAGTTGGTTGCTTTTAAAGGTAACCCGATTAAGTAGTGGCAGCTTCATATTACGATTTACTTGAGCAGACTATGTAGGTATAATTCGATCGCTTCTTCCGTCAACGACGAATCAAAATTCTTCTCGTCTTCTCAATTAGAACATACATATCTCGACAATTGTTCCAAAAATATTCCAGTACTCTTTGCTGTTAAAAGGTTCCGTGAGAACAGGAACAACGTCGTATATTGGAAAGAAAAAAGGACAATTTAATAGAAGTTTCAATGAATATCCGTCGTCTGTTGTCTTCTGTTGTTGAAATACGTTCAAAGTGGAGCCCTTTTACCGTAATCTCGTGTACTGAAGTTTAATGTTCCTAAGACTAGGGCGGGATGTGATCCGGGTTGGTAGCACAGTTACTTCCGGCTGTTGGTCCTTAGTCTTTGTCTACGGTGCAGGGCTCGGGCATGGACTATTGCGGCGGGCAGTTTACTACCGTCGTGGTAGCGAATTCGCTGAATTTTTTATCGATTGGAACTCGGTCGTCGTAGAGGGTTGGTGCCTGCAGGATGATCCCGGCTGTCCCGACCAGCACCGCCAATGTGAAAATCCATAGGAATAGTCTGTCCAGCACCATCGCCACGTATTTCCAGTCCTCTTTTACCTTTATCAGAAGAATTAAATCGTATTACACGTTGCGAAAGAATTCATATAACTCCATAAGTGGTACTTAAACTTGTGCATTTAAAACCTAACCCTTATAAATGCAAATGAAGTACCTTGGTTGAATCTTCGAGCATCTTTGTATGCTCGGCGATAAAACGCACACAGATGCAGGATTTGTGAATTTCTGGAGGACAACGCGAATGCGAGAAAGCTGGAGGACTTCGTAGGACAGGACTTTTAACTTCCTCGATCCCTGCTTCGCCGGAAACCGATAGATCCTCGCACTCGGTATGAAGAGGAAGCGGAGGCAATGGTGGTCCATGGATTAAACAGCTTCCACCGAACCTTGCACCGTCCGCCAGGCTAAATAACAAACAACAAAGTGCCATTGAAACTGGAAACTTTCTCTACGAAGCAATATTCGGTGTCTATTATTTTGCAAGTTTCGAATCCCCTTCCATTTATACAATTGCTCTAGCTGGATTAACCCTTGGAACAGCGGAGTCTGGGTCAATCGGGACCGAAACTTACAAAATATTAACCCAAAGTTAAATGTATGATTTTTAAACGAGAGTTTCATATATTGGAAGAACAATTTTCAGAGTAATAGTGTAAAATTTAGAAAATGAAAATGATTGGAGGTAGAAAATTAAATTAAAATTGGGGCTCTCTTTACGGTCCGCCGCCCGAGGGTTAACAGTTTCACGTAAAAATTGCTTTTAATTCCGTAATTTTCTGCAGCATAAGAGGAATTTTTCTTCCTTTTTTATTTTCTGGAATATAATAGTCTTCTGTTCAAAGCCTCGTATAAAATTTTGCAATTTATAAAGTTAAAGATCAACAGCAGTGGCGGCCTAAGTCTATACCTTTTCTTTTGCCACAATGTTGGTTAAAGCTTCGTTTTTGAATTATTAACCAAAAACACTGTCCAATTAGAGCGCGTGGTGAAACGCTAGAGTGTCGGCTATTGATTACGTCCGAACGGCGGTCAAGTCACAATTTGCAGCTTCGTTTTCGAGATATAAGTAATTAAAAATTAGGATATCATTTTCTGAAGCGCGTGTTCTTCTTTCGAACAATCGACGCTGTTATGACGTTTGGTTAGTTTCACAATAAACTCTATTTAATAGCTTATACCTACCAGTTCAGAAAGTTTGTTCATGTTACTCTAAGTCTGTTTGAATTGAACTTCGAAGTAAAGTCGTGTAAGCTTGTTAACCAAGTCTCGTAATACTATACTAGTTTGGTGTACAGTACATCAACGTGTCAATTATTTTACAGATACATTTCAAACATCCTTTGGGGATAACTTTAACTTAAAACCAGCAATCATTTCAACATCTTCCTAAAGCATCGAATTGAATTTATAATAAAAGTAGATATTAGATTATTAACATTATTAGTACTATTATAATATTATTATGTTCCAACTTTTTTAAAAAAAATGTTGGGAATTTTGTATTTTGTTATACATATGACACCTTGTATACAGCAGACTCTCGCTATATTGCCACCGACGATATAACGAGAGTCAACAGTAGTTGATTAAATAATTTTGCATACCTGGAAGGTGAAAGGTCTTCTTTTGATGCAGCACGACTATGAAATCGTTTAGGAGTTAAATGTTCTTCGCTATTCTCTTGAGTAGATGGGTGATAGGGATAATAACAGGTTTTTTCTTTCCCCCTTACTGTTCTCATTAACACTCTGCCAGAACTATATCTGTGAATGTAAATTAATTCGTTAAATAAACAATGTATTAAAAGAACTACTACTATTGTTTGCTGCAAATGTTTCAGAGTGTGGCTTGGATATTGCAAATAATTTAATAGGCGATACTACTACAAAAAGCACTAGTGCTAAAAATTTCATATTGCAAATAAAATTTAATTTGCGTTCAGATATTGACTTAGATACTTAATAATTTACTTTAGAATATTTATAATTTACAAAAACTAAAATTCTTACTTTTCAATGTACCTATTTTCTAAAATTATTTTTATAAATTTTCAATAAAAACGTACGAGTACAGTTTCCGGCAGAGATATCCATAACGAGAGGGTTAAACGATATTTGTGAAATAGAAAATTTTTGGATTAAATAAATGACAATATATGCTTACCTATTTGCTTCGAATTTATACTGAGGCCTTCGCATGACCAACAAGCGTGGAAGAATATGAATGAATACCCTTTTCACCCAAGGTGCCATTTTGTGAGTTTGAGGTGATCGAAAATGGACATTCAGTACAACCACCGTTACACATATACTGTAACATAAAAAGACAGAAATTCCTAATGATCGGATCGTAGATTTTCATTTATGATTATTAGAATACTTAAAGAAATAAATAATCCCTTTTTCAGAATAGAGAATTTTCAAAAGTTTCACTGTAAAAGTGAAAACCATTTCGATTTAAATGGTTAATAATAATCAATTTTTAATTAGGGTCACAACTACTTTGCGTAGCCTGAGGAAAATGTATCCACCATATGTTTGAAAATAGGCATAGCTTATTCCCTTTGATGTTTTAATATTTTCGATGAAATCTTAGCGGTAAAGCAAGGCAAATTGCCGTAACGTATAACCGGGAGTGGCTGCGGTGGAACGACAGAACGTAAATCTCGCCAGGCCATTCATAACGAGGGAATCCATTCGGTGATGGCTGGCCTTAGCAGCCGCCGGGTACTAAGGGACAGACTATGATTTAAATTGAACCTGGTTCCTTTACCTTGACTGGAAACCAGGGATGGGAAGAAGTTCAATATGTACTCACTAATCTAAGTCAATTCCAAAATCCAAGTCCTCAGTTCAGAAGGTAAAAGTCATTATCACAGAGTACTTAACTAAAAGGAGATGGTTTTGAAATTTCAACATTTTGAATGTAGATATTAAAAGATATTAAAATTGTAAAATGTGTTATAAAATATTTCTTTTATAATCCATAGAATGTATTTATTTTAATATTTAAAGCTTAGTTCTGATCGTTAAGGGTATTTCCATGAAATTCGCTTATACGAAGAGTCATTACGAGGAAATAATAATTCATAAGAACAGGTCAGCTGTTTTAACGTTTAAGAGGAGCGCTCGAGGAGAACGTGTGGCGGTCGATCTTGGCTTTAATGGCGGCACAATGTCTCCACGTTTCTCGGAAAAAAGCAATAAGCGATGCGGTTTAATGCACCAGAGCACCGACCATCCCCTTGAAATTAAACGAAGAAAAAGGCTCGGTTCTTTGCTTGGCCTCCGCCTTCGGTGAAGGCAAGTCACGAACGATGCTGTTACTGATCGTCACACCTACCACTTCTTTTCGTCTTTCACCAGTGGACTTTGTAATTCAGCGTTTGATTGTGTGGTTAATAAATAATGAGATTGAGACTGTAGTTTAATTTTAATGAAGAAACCTACATTCCAATTTCTGTCTCCTTTATTATACTCCTGCAGCTGCATTCTGATTTTTCACTGATCAAAGCAGTGCTATAGTTGCCCCCAGAGAGTGTTAGATTAAGGGGACTATATCATTGGGTTCTACTTTTCAGGGGTCCCTGTTATAATCCTTCCACTTAGGCTTTATGCTTTTATTTAGAATAAATTTTAGTTTTCATGATCATTTACTTTTTCTACGTTGTTCATCAGCTATCTCACTTATTTTTCATCGATTCTCCCTTTCCTATCGCTGCTCTTCATTTCGCTTCTTACACCCCGATCGTCTCATATTTTTTGCAAAGCTCTCTCACGTTCGTGTTACGGCGACGAAGAAGCGTTCTTTCTTAGAGACTGATGGGCAACGATGATGAAGCGACTTGGAAATTTGTAGGGTAGCGGTTCTTCGTGGTGATGTAGAAGATTCCCGGGAGAAGGCGAATAAAAAAAAAACGTGGATCGAATACGTCGAGCTCCGAAACTTTACAGCTTCCAATTTCGTCATGGATCGACTATGCCTCTTCTAACGATTTATGACGGCTTCGCCACCAAAATCGGTGGGGTCATCAGGATTGCTGGCGTCGAGGGTGGGGTCTCCAGGCGACCACAAGGTAGGTAGCAGAAGGAGGTCTCAATTTGGACCTCCACCATTACATCTTAGCATCTTTTACACACCTGCATGCCTTACATCCCTGCATCCCTTACATCCCTTACATTCCTGCATCCTTTACATCTATGCATTCCTTATATCCCTACATCCCTTATATCTCTTACATTCCTGCATCCTTTACATCTATGCATTGCTTATATCCCTACATCCCTTACATTCCTGCATCCTTTACATCTATGCATTCCTTATATCCCTACATCCCTTACATCCCTTACATCCCTTACACCTCAGCAAAAAACGAAACTAAATTTGGCATAAATTATGAGCCCTCTACTGGCAAAAATTTCAACTAATTTTCGACGTCGAATCAGCGCCCTCTGGGGGCAGAAAAAGGAACTAAAGCATGCCAAAATTTTGGCCCTCTGGCGGCAAAAATGTGAACTAAATTTTCGATGCCGAATCAGCGCCATCTGGTTTCGGAAAAAGGAACTAAACCTTGCACCAATTTTGGCCCTCTGGCGGCAAAAATGTGAACTAAATTTTCGATGTCGAATCAGCGCCATCTGGTTTCGGAAAAAGGAACTAAACCTTGCACCAATTTTGGCCCTCTGGCGGCAAAAATGTGAACTAAATTTTCGATGTCGAATCAGCGCCCTCTGGTGGCAGAAAAAGGAATTAAATTTTTCAAAAATTCAAATTTAAAATTATTTTTTACGAAACTTTACTTACCTTTACTTACCTTTACTTACCTTTACTCGAGCTAGTGGCCATAAGTATATTATTTATAATATATTTATTATAAGGGTTGAAAGGATACAAGGGAGGATGCAGGGAGAATGTCAACATGGGTGTTTGACTCCAGTTGATTCCTAAATCTTATTAGAGCAAACTGAGAGCAATGACCGATAGCAATCGAGGTTTATTCTCTGATTCCTGCTACAAAAAGCCTGTGTCTGCTTTAAAATATAATTAATGCGATCGATACGGGACGTTGGATTGCAAATGACGGGTTAAGTGCGAATTCATTGTGTCTTCGAAAGTGGGTTAATTGCAACGATCGTGGTGCTATTCTTATCATTGAGGGAACATTGTTTGTCTTGTATTCGGCTTGATTGGATCTAAAGCTGGCAATTAATTAAATTTCATGATTTGAAGTCGAAGAAATGAAGGACAGCTGATTTCAAGAAATTAAATAAACAAACTATTGTACCATTAAAATGATTCACAGATTCGCAATTCAGAATTCAACTATTCCCCAAATTTTTGCCAGTACCTTTGCAAATTTAGTCTACGAACCTTTCGCAGCTGTTAATTATTCAATTTCAGAATCGCGATGTTACGATACGTCAACCTTTGCCTCGTTTTGGCATCAGGACGCTTGGCGTCTCCGTTTAAACCGTGACAAGTCGAGAGCCGGGCCTGAAGTGGCACTCAAGCCGATGAAATTTACTTAGCGAGAGAAGTAACGACGTCACTGTCCACTCGAACAGACTGCTGGAAGAAAGAGCTGGGCAGACGCTGCGCCGCGCCGGCTGGCAAAGCGAAAAAAGGGAAACGAAGCTGAAGAGAGACTTGCTCCTTAAACGTTTCGCAGTTTCGGGTTACCCAGATGAGAACCTTTAATCTACGTTACTTTCCGGGATCTCTCAATTCTCTTTTCTTTCTAATACGTAGCAAAATTTTTGCACCAAGTAAATGAAAAATTGAAAGTTATAAATAAAAGTAGCTAAGACTTATTAAAGATATTAACAAATAGTGTCTTTAAAATTTAATGAATGCACTACATAGTTTTTAATTAAGAAGATAATCTAACGATTAATTAATTAATCTATAACACTTAATCTATAAATAAATTTATGTTTGAAATTTTTATTTAAAATTAAAATAGTAATTTTTGAATGTTAATTTGTAATAATGTGAAAAATTAAATTGCTAAAAATAATTAAGATATGATTTATTATACATGCTACGAATGTGAAGAAATTTCAAAGTAATGTTCAAACACTTTTAACTGTTTGAAAAGGATTAAGAGAACAAAGAGCCATATAAAGTTATTATAAACGTAGAAGCTTATATCCGGTAAAAAATTCATTTCATTTCTCTGAATCCTTCAAGACAAGCGAAGCGTTAACTCCAAACGGAAGTTTAAAGGAATTTTTCCATTTCCAGAAGCTTCAATTATTCAGGAAGGAGAATATAAAGAATTCGTTTTTCATGGTATATTCAACAAGTTTAAAAGCGATGCGTCAGCTTCAAATATTGACAAAAAGAGATAAATTATTTTTCAAACGAATAGTTTGCGCAATATCGTGGAACAAAAATACTGTTGCACGATGAAATTGTAATAGTGAAGGATTGATCTCTATCTTTTCTTTTTTTAAATCAATTAAATTTATTTTTGAATTCAATGAATTAAAAACTAATGATACAATGAATTTCCCAGGTATTCGTTAGTTAAATCCTGTCTAGTGAAGAGGAAAGGACTTCCACAGGTGACAAAATTTACTTACTCTCGACTAACGACATCATTGCCCGCTTGAACAGCGATGTCAGAGAGAATGACAGAGATGGTGGTGTGAATAGGGAGAATAGGAAAGGAAAAGCCAGGCTAGGAAGAGAATTCACGGTGCCAAGTCGCGTACCGGAGCATTAATATTTGCGTGGTTCATTTAACACGGCAAACTAACCATTTTGAAGTATCTGCTTCGTTTGCTGCTTGAAACAGATTTCACGTTAGTGGATAATTTCTCCCAATCTTCCAACGATTTGCTAAATTCTGTTTAACTTGACAAGCGGGATAGAAAATAGAAAAGTAAACTAAAAGTTATTTATTAAATTGATGTATATGAAATGGAATCAATAAATTTAATAATTAAAAATATAAATACGTATTTACATTTTTATTTTTCTTATTTTTTTTTTTTTGCAAAAGAATTAGAGAAAGTTGTTCAAAATTAGAGAAAAATGTTTGAATAAAAATTGAAAAAGATATTACACAATTTAAATAATAAGTTCCAATTTGCAAAACAATGAAGAACTTTTCTCTTTCTTTTCTCTTATACAATTTCCAGATTTCAAGATGCACACTATTTTTGCGACAGCCAGTATAAAGCGATTACAACTCGGGGTTTCATAAAGGCGAACTGCGACGATAAACTACATAGAAGGATAAGAACACCATAAAAAACGTAACGTTGCCTCAGAGTTGGAAAAGGATCCATTGGTAGCAGTCTTATCGTAAGATACTTTCCTCCTCTGACTCCATATAAAGCTTGATAATGTTTACACATCAACGGTGAGTATCGTGTGTTGAGAAGCATTTTTCGAGGTCTTGAAAGGATTTCTTTCAGGGGTGACATTCTGGTAAAAGAAAATCCTCTTCAAAATAATCCCAGAGTTACGACGAAAGTTATAGCGTTTCATGAATTGTCGGATACATACAATGCTCTTTTTAAATATAAGAAAAAGTTCTACATTTGTACGGTATCAGAAGTTTCTTCAACCCTTGGACGGCGGACCATGGAGAGAGCCGTAATTTCAGTTCAATTTCGGATTCTATGTTCTAAATCTGTACAATTTGAAAATTATTTTTATTAAAATTCGTATTTAATTTGTTAAGCTATAGTTCTTCCAAATCGTAGTTTATGAATTTCTAAATACTATGATAATACACTTGAAAATATCTATAAAATTTCGCCAGCATAAATCAGGAAATAATAATAGCTGCAGCTGTTGTTGATTGCGAATTCGTTCTGTGTACAATTTTTCCCGTTTCGTAGTATCGTCTAGGCCGAGATAGCAATCTATTTCGCATTAACGTGATACCACACTTTCGCAGTGAAAGAAGAGGATCATCCCTTACATGTTTTTCTCGCCGTAGAAGGGATTGCACGTTCTTTTGTTGTCCACAATCCAAGCTGAAGTTTAGTCGTAATTGTACTTGAGGATTTATATTAGATTTCAACGAATTACTTCCGGTTAAACTAAAGAAATCTGTACAGGAAAAATAAGAAAAAATTTTATTAACGAAGAAAAGAATGATTAATTCTTTAAGAAAATAATTTCTTAATTGAATTTTAATTTCAACCTTCGACAGAATTTTACCACAGAGCATTGTTAGTCTTCGTACGGTCTGCTCGATATTAATTCTGCTAAGAATCAAGTTGAATCAGCCAAACAGTAGCTAGCGTGATCAGCATCGTACATCTGACTGGCGCACTTTGGCTATAGAAGTAGCCGGCTATGGTGGCTGTTAGGCCGAGTCAGTATCACGACTTGGGAAACGTGCCACGTTTAAATTGGATTCTATTCTCGAAGGAGTAGCTGAGCTAACGGATTCGTGGTTGGCAAACGGAAGTCTCCTGGCACTTCCTCCGTCTTCCTCCGGCCGGTAGGAATTTCCAATCCTGCCAGCTACCAAGGAAAAAAGCTACCATGTTTAGAAGGAAACTTGTATTAACCCTACCACCAGGCTACCAGTTTACTGCTGCACCGGCACACCCTGTGTATCTTGTAAAATAATTCTAAAGTTTGGGATATGAAATTCAATTATTCAATAATTTTGCCTGTAACTATTAGAAGAAGAAGAATTTTTAAAGGAACAATTGAAAATTTAGTAAAGGAAACTGATGTGAAATAGAAAATTAAATTAATATTGAGGCTCTCTCCATGGTCCGCCGTCCGAGGGTTGAAAAGAAAATTAGCTCTAAAGAAAGGACGAGCATTCATTGATTCTCGATCGAGTGAATTTATAACTATCCTCTGTGCCTTCGTTCCAGCTCGTTTCCCAGCTTCACTTAATTCCATCATTTTCCACCTAAACCATACGCCATTAGTGCAGTCACGAACCTGTGATAAAACGCGTCGTTGAGTAGCTTGTTTACGCAGCTCTCGCATATTACCCGACGCGTACAGAAATTAAATTGCTTAAACTCGTTAGAAGGGTAGCGTTATCATTTACCTTTTGGGAATTTTACCATACAGGTTGTCCCGCTTAACTTGAGTAACTAAGTTACAACTCTGAACGGTGGAGGGTAGAAAAAAATGAAATAACGTCAAAAGGAATATCATTTAACTTATTACGATTCTGGAGAAAGATATTTAATATTGAAAAATGCAGAAATGAAACTGAAAAAATACGAATTTCAGCATGATAGTAGAGAGACCTGCGTTCGATATACGGGTCAGCTGGTCGTCGACATTCCAGAACATTAATTTCAGAAGTGTTTCTATTCACACCCCTGCATGGGTTCATTGGCCCGTAAGGGCTCTTTTCAAAGGGCGCTATGAGCCTCGTACGAGGAGGGAAGTCTCTTTGAAACCGTACCACTGGGCCCTAGTTTAATATTAATAGCTGCATTTGCGGCTTCGTATGAACGGCATTTAACTAACGAGACGCCTAGATTTGGTCATCCTACTCCTTTACCCTTTCTTTCCTCTTTCTTTTCCGCCACTTGACCGACCACGTGGCAGTTGACCCTTAAACGTACCCTCTGTAACCACAGTGTGGCAGCTCGATAATTTCTGCCTCTCAGGCATTTTCGAAAAACGAGCAGTTATCGAATGTATGATCAAGAAATTAGTTATACAGCAAAGAGGAAAGTTTCGAAGAAAAATAGTCTCTGGTATGGGCCTGGAATCCCTTAGAAATTTCAAAATTTTACGATCTGAGAAATTCTGAAATCTGAATAAGGAATAAAGATAAAATAAAAATTCGTCAGCTACATTGGAAGCCGTCGAACAGTGTTAAATTGAATCAGTCTACGTACATTCCCATTACTATCGCTTTATTCGTCGAATCAGCTGGCGCAGTAAGCTCGGGAAATGCTCATAAATTTTTTCCTGTTGCGGCAGATGAAACGGGTTCCGTTTCATTCGCATTGTCTCAGGGAGCGTAGCGGAGGCAGCGGCCGTAACTGGGATGCAGTGGATCGATCGTGCCGAGCCATTGTTTCGCCTCAGTGTCGCTATCAATCGCGGTAGACGTTCATTATAACGGCATTAAAAGGCTTTTGAAACGGCGGTACGGGAGGCGGGAGGGGAAGAACGATTTGCAGAAGGTAGGAAATTGCAGCGAAAGCGAGGGAGGACGAAAGAAATAAGGGAAAAGAGAGCCTGTTGCTGGTGTTATCAGCGGAGGAGACCGAGTTCGATGTTTGTTCCGTTTCTTCGATGTACACGCGTCGACGGCCAAGGGACGATCTCGAATTGTAAAAGCGGTAAAACAAGACATTAGCTTCATGGGGTGGAAGGAAATAGGGAGGGGGGAAAGGGTAACCGCGGACCTGGACCTTCTCCAAAGCCGAAAGGAACTTCCGTTCCTGTTCCTCGTTGTTAGACCCGTTCGTACAAAACCAAGATTTCAAAGTCGGCAATAAACTGCCGCAAACTGGGACGCTACGATTTAGCCGGTCTCCGTGTTCAGTCATTCGTTATTAACGTTTCAGGAGTTTTCAGGGTATTCGAGTCCTTTGCTCGGTCTACCTCGTCCTCTCTCGCTTCCACTTGCTCTTTTTATCTCTCGCCACGGGTGCGTACTTTATTGCAGGTAAAAATGAATCTCTAGCACGCTTATGCTGCGATACACCCAGCGAAATAACATTTTTCACGTTTCATAGTGTAAAGCTTCGTTTTAAGAGCCTTTGTAATGGAGCGTTTATACGAGACTTCTTTGAAAACAGAAGGTACACGAGTATGGGATCACGTATCGATGAAGATGGAGAACAGCGGTTCTCATTCGCACGGTCAATGTTTATATAAATTTTTATCAAAACACTCTGTGAAACTTACATTGCCATCACTAAAGTAATCGTGGACACCCTCGCAACTCTAAAGTCTTAATCCTAAAATTCTAGAATTCTAGTATTTAAAAATTCAAAAATTTTAAAATTCCTCAGACTCCAAAATTCCCTAAATTTCAGGATTCGACGAACTACGAAATCCCTCAACTTTCAATTAATAATAAAAATAAGAAATGTCTGTAAATGTAATTTCATATAAAAAGAGTCATTATATAAATAGTTATAATCGTAATTGATCTGTACATATGAGAGTCACTCCATATGATACATTGTTGAAACTAGCCTACCTGTTCAGAGGAAGGTGGGCTCGTATGGTCCATTTCTGCGATAACCCAGATTCGAAAACAAAAAGCTTTTGTCTGGACGCTGAATATCGCGATGACGCACTTTGATAATCAGAAAGACTTTCGAGAACTTGCATTCCGATAAGGTGTCGGGTAATCAGACCACATTTTTTTATCTCAACAACAGTTGAAACAGTTGAAATATATAAAAAGAAATGAATAATTTTGTGTGCCCCGAAATAAATTACCTGTATTTAAGACGTTTAATCAACGACACTGTACGTTTAAAGCTTTACGAAAATTACCTTAATGGAGAATCACTTTATAGCTTTCGTACAACACGATAAAGTTAAGGAGCCGATGGTAATAATCGACTATTCAAGTTATAATATACTTAAAGCATGTTTTGAATGCTTACCTTATCGAAACGAGTATCATGGCGAATATCAGGTACTTTCCAAGCAGCGGCACGACCAGCGACGTAGGTGGAATGATCTCAACGACCAGCAGGAAGAACACGTGAAGACTGATGAGAATGGAGATGGAGAGCGTGACCTGTAATGGTAAAAAAATTTGGTTAGACTTAGCCCTAGTTTCCACTTTTAATTTTAAAGGAAATATTTATATTATAATTATTAACGTACAGTGGTATCTTCGTTAATTTCAATTTAATTTACTTATATTTACAGCAGGGAAAATTTTTAAAATTTTCATCACAAGCTCATGTCAGATAAAAAATTTATATGTGTCTTTTAATAAATTAATTTTTATAGCTTCTCAGAAGCCCTGAAGTCATTTGATCGAATTTTGAAAAATGTAACCTGATTTAAACGATGGTTATCATAATAATTCTTTTTCCAAGAAAAAAGTTACATGAAAATCTGAAAAATTGTACGAAATCTGTCGAGAAAAATATGAGAAAATGTAAAAGAACTGGGGTGCGATCCAAAGGGTCACGTACTCGAATATAAGCAAACAAATCCCTGAACTCCGCTGTATCAACACCGACTATGCAGTGAGATGAAATTTGCAAGCAAAAACTCGGTCAGTTTGTGTGAATTAAACTCCGCCAGTCAACTTGCAAAATAACTTGGAGCTTGTACATACCGGATCGTCCAAGTTGATGTTTGCGCAAGGTATATTTGTATGCTCTTGCAGCTACAGTAATTGAAGAGAAAGTGAAATTCTCGTAACTCCTGATTCAGTCTCCTGTTTTTACATTTCACTTAATGTTCCCGGGTTAAATGAATCTAAATCCTTTTTTTTTTTGTAAAGTTAAAAATAGTTGCCCTGATTTTTTTCATAGAGAAAGGAAGAAATAAAGCTCTTAATGCACTAAAGCCAGAGATGCGTGGCCGCTAATCAAATTAACGTCGAAATAGCCAATATATCAGTGTCGAAAGATTAGAACGTTGCAGGATATAACGATCGGATTCATCGTTAAATGCAACACGGTCGTCAACAGTAATGATCGTTAACTGACACTGCATTTTGCCCGTGGATGCGACGTGATATGGCTTCCTGCCCACGAGTCATCAGAATCGACAGCTAACATGACAAGCATGTTCCTTTATTGTTCACATAATACGTATTTGTGGTTTCATACAAGAACTACCAATATCAGTATTTATAAAGCTGAGATATTAGAAAAAATTCATGTTCAAATAAAAATATTATTGTTTAATAATTCATTTTTCCAATATAATAGTTGAATAACTTCATAAAGTAAATCAGTAAATAAATTAAATAAGATCTGGACTTCGTTAAACAAAAATACTACTGTGTTTAATCAACTATGGTGGATTGTAATATGTTTTAAAAAAATCAATAATTTTGTGTTCTTCGAGTAAAGTTGAATCCAACTGAATGTTTCTCTCGTTAAACGATTAAATTCACAACAGGAGTCACTGTACATCGTTCAAATAGAAATTCAAAGTTAAATTCAAACGATAGCCTCGGGTGCAACGGTAACGCGATGTAATCAGCGCACGATGCAGTAGTGCAACGGAATGCAATCGTGGATTGCGAGCGCTAATGGGTTAGAATCGCAGTCGTACTTTCACGAGATCCAAGCCTTTGTAAATCGAGCGATTATTAAGGGTAACCATCGAGGAAGGCGGGTGCATTCCTTGCCACGGTTAATCACGGTGATTAGTTTAAGCGATCGCCGATCGAACTGTAATTAGTGGGCCGAGACTCTCTGGAGGATAGGGATGGAGATACTTGGAAGGCGTCGGTCACAAATGTCGGGACATTTAGCTGGCACCACGACCGAAATGTCAAACGATTCGATGCTTCATTGTAACACGACATTCATTGATCGTTATTCGTTCGACACGAAAATAAACGCCCCCGGATTGAATTTCACCCGTTTCTCAACGAGTCTCTGGTTTCTAAAGTTATGTACACTTTCAGAGAAAAATACTGAAATAATTTCAATTAAAAATTAAAATTAAGTTTTAATATCTCACAAGGGTAACTACCCAAGTGTTACACTCACTTATTAATGAAACTTTGCCTCGTCGAGCTGAACATGCCTATACCCCCTTTTGGGGGCAGACGGCTAATTGTTTAAAAGATATTAACATTTACATTTAGTTACTCCTTACATTCTGAAATATGACAAACTCACACATACAACTCGCAATCTAGAGATCCACGGGTCAAATCCTTGGTTCCTAACATTTTTCTTTTTTTTATTGATAATTTGTCTCTTTTTGAATAACTATTATATAAAAATTATCATAAAAAAAAAAAAAAAATTGTTGGGAAGCAAGGATTTGAACCAAGGACCTTTAGATTGCGAGTCACAGATCCGCTCCGTGGTTAAACACATGACTCGCAATCTAAAGGTCCTCGGTTCAAATCCTGGGTCACTTTTTTTTTTTTTTTTTTTTTTTTAATAATGATAATTTGTTTCTTTTTGAATAATTGAAATTGTATATAATTCTAAACTAAAATTCGCTATTCTATTTTGAATAACTTAAATTCTATACAAATTGCAGTGTATGTAATTAATTATTATTATTAAATAGCAATGATTAATTATAATTAATTCGACAATTTATTTTATTTCAAAAGTAACCAAAAATCTGTGAACAAAAATATTTTGAACATTACCATTAATTTTGATAAATGAAACATTTTGTTTAAAAAGGATATATGGCTACCAGGTACCTCTGTTCAAGGCCGGATGTAGGCAACATAAAAAAACAAATGGGCCACCCCATGAGTAGGGTAGTTTACATGATGTCCCATGCTGCCTGACATTACGAGCAACGGTACGAAAAAGCTGGTAAGCGCGAAGCATGCAATTTCGTGGACCATGGTGGCTACGGAGTCAATCACCGAACGGTGATATTGCTTATCGATTCTCTCGGATTGATTGACATGCCTCGAAGGCCGAATGGCTATGTATGCGTTCCTCCCTCCATCTTTTTCCTCAAAAATACAACTACCCCCTGTCCCCATCTCTATTTTATTTCCTTTGTTTTCCCCTATCGCAGGGATAGAATGGATTGTCCAGTGGTCACTGGCTTCAACCAAACTCGTTAAATACTCGAGTATCAAGTCTAAACTTCGATAACTAACGAGAGAAGTTGTTTAGCGAATGTGAATTGTAAATTTGTTTATTAAACTTTTAATTATGTATTTTGGAGGTCCAATGAAAACTTATAGTTAAACGTATAATTTCTAAACAAAAGAGTTCTATATATTGATAGCATAATATTTTATAATAATTTGTCACTTCCACATTTGTAGATATCCAAATCTAAAACTTATATTTTTGAATATCTCTTCTCGAATAAAAAGAAATCAATAATTTCATGAGCTTCAAAGTAAAGTTCAATAGATTTTTCTTTTTTTTTTTGACAGAAAATTTTTATAAAGCTACAAGGTACGTATTTATTCTGCCCTCTGCCACGTATCGAGAGCGGTGTACAAAGAGGATCCTTAGGCGGGGTAGGTTTTCGAGTAGGGACAAAGCAGGGAAGCAGTGAAGTGTGGTGTGTAGGAGTAGAAGGAGTAGGTGGAAGGTAAGAGGCGATGGAGAGCAAGAGGCCGTGGTGGAAATGAAAAATAGTCCACGTCGTCGAGCGAAAAGTAACTACTAGCTCGTAGCTACAGATAAGGGAAAATAACGAGGCCGACAGCCGCGCGGAAGAGAACTAATTCGGCGCATATTTCACACGCGTCCGCTTTCGCGGCAGCCTAAGTATAGGTAAGCACGCCCGTTCTCAGGGATAAAGGAATTAATTGCATCACCCCGCTTCGCCGTCCGTCTTTTTCTTTCCGCTCGAGGCTCACCCATCCGCCACCCCCATCACCCATCCCTCAAAACGCTCGATCCATTCTCCGCGTAGGTTGCTTTGCGGACCGCGTTGACTGGCGTCTGTCAATTCCCATCGACATTTTTCCGTGTACATTTCGCGTTGTTGACGCGACGCTTTATATATATATATATATGTACAATCAAACAACTAATCACAGAGGAAAATACGAAAGAAGAAAGGAATCGATACTCGAGGTCAATCGTTTATAAAGAATTATAATGCATTTTTTGAAAAGAAACTTGACTTTGGAATCTTTCCTCTTACAGTTTTCCATGGAATTGGAAGAAAACACGTATTGTCTAAAAAAAGAGTTAGAACTGTAGTAGATAGGTTTGGAACAGAGGGATCGGTCGCATGACGGACTTTGGTTCAATAAAATTTACATTCTGCGGAAACCCAGCTTTCCACCGAAACTTTCCTCACAATGATTAACGACCGCCATAAATTCTAAGTTTCTCCATCGGATTTATATTCGTTGCCACGGTTCATTCGTTCGCTCAAACTCAGGAAACTAGCGATTACAATCATTCCACCGATCCTTCCCTTCTGTTTTATGTTTATTGCAATAGAAATCATATTTGCTTTGGTTCAGATTTTACGATCATGAAATGCTCTTGGAACACCGTGTGCATATTGGATTACAAAGTAATATAAAATAATATATACATTACAAATTTTGAGCCAGGCTTCGCTGTTCAAGAATTAAAAAATAAAAAATTGATTCTATAATTTATAAATATAAAGGTTTCTAAAAGGTAAAGAAAAATCCTACTATTTGACCGTAAAAATTTTCTACACTCAGTTGCTGAAGAAGTTAACGGGCATTCACCGGGTCCACGACAGATAAAGGAATTAATTGCACTGCGGGAATCGTGACCGCCAGCGATTTTAATTAACGGTTGGTGCGGTTTAAGGGACCGGGATTGGTCATATCTCTGGACGTTTAGGTCGATGGAAGACAAACCTGTGCGTTTACAGGCAGCGAGTTTTAATTAACGGCCGACTCTTTGACGCAGCCTTTCTTATTGTTCGCGAGATATTGAAATATTCAGTGCGGATCGTTTTGGATGAAACTTTTCACCTAGCTGCTTGAAACCTCTGACCTATGTCAGATGAAGATTCCACAAGTTTCTAGTTATCCTCTTATTAATATTATATTATTAATTTTTACTCACCTTCTCCCCGCTGTCGCTGGGTAGATAGAAAGTCAGCACCGTAAGAAAAGAAATCCCCATACATGGTATGATTATGTTCACAGTGTAGAAAAGTGTTTTCCTTCTCATCGTTATATTAAACGTAATGTCTAGGTACGGCTCGTCGCAGCAGGTGTAAAATTTTTCGTTTCTGCACAAAGAAGAATAATTTTCATATTATTTTATTGTACAGTAGACTCTCAAACTAATGGAATGATTCTTTTTTATTTTAACAGATCGAAGTTGTAAATTTATCTTCTTAAACGCCCCCCCAAAAAAAAAGAAATTAAAGAACAGGGATTTAAAGAGAAGACAATTATTAAGTTTTACAATATATCTTTCGACTTCAAAAAGTTTAAGCGATCTGCAGTACCTATTATGAGAGTTAATCTAAATTAAACACTTCCGGGATGAAAGTATAAGTATGCTTTAACTTCAATCGCTTTGTATTACGAAGAAACTTTCCTTACATTGCAATTTGAAAGTTCGTTGAATTTCATAACCGGTTTTCCAAAGCGTTTCGCTACGTGTAAAATTAACGATTATACTTTTTGCAAATGTTTGTTTTTATAAATTATATTCCAACGTTCCAGATTTTTAAAGACTAAAAGGATTATACATAGTTTTTTCTTTTTTTTTTTCAAAGACAATGAATAGGAATGAAACGCTGGAATCCGATTTTTCATTAAGGTTTATTCAACAGACAACGATTTTGCTACACGACCGTGCTAAACGCGAATCGATCGAAATTCCGGTTGCAATTTAGAACCGTCTGACCATTGGTCGTTTGACTACAGCAATGATATTCCCTTTACGTGACAAGTCGTTTAAATATCCACCGAAAAACCGATTCGATCCGTGAGTCACGTCGCGCGGAGAAAAAAGAATCGGATATCGACTTTCCGTGCGGTTCACGTAAAAGAAATTTAACGAAAGATTATTAAATACATTAATTAATATTAAAAGCTCACCTTACTGCAGGTACTTCCAAAATGTCCCATTCTACCGACATGTAGAACTCGGACAGATCGACCCCAACGTCCACCACGTTGCTTCCCGATTTCTCGTCCATGTGTCTTAGGTCGACCTAAACGAAACAAAAGAGCCGGAAAATTAGCCTCGCTCCACGATCAGATTCTCGTTCGATTAGGATATTTCATGCCCACGTTTAATTTACTCGGAAAAACAAACGAGACTGCTGTCTGGACACCTTGGGACGATTAAAAATCAACCGACAAATTACCATGAATAATATTTGAAATTAATTTTGAATACAGTTCGTCGGGCAAGGTATTTCCGGACGACAGTTCGCGTATACGGGCTAAGTACGAACAATAAATTCCGAAATGAAAGTTAAAGTGCATGTCTCGTGATGCACTTAGTGTTCGCAAAAGCGCAACGGGAGCAAAACACTAATAAATAGTCTGGACGAAAAACGGGCGATCCAAAACACGAAGGCCCAAGAAAGAATCTATAATAGTCAACTATCAGCGGAACGTCCTCTTCAACTATGCCTTCGCTTTCAACTATATTGTGCAGCATGACGAACGAACAAACAAAGTCGACACTGAAAAAAATGAAAACTAATCGCTAAGCAGAGTCCTAATTTTGTTGGAGAAACGAATAGTCTCGCCGGGTGATGTACATAAATTTTTTTTCTTTTTTAATTTTCTACGATTCTTCGATCATTCGGACACGATCGACAACTGTATCCGAACGCTATCGATAGGATGTTGTTATTGTTGCACGCGCGATTTCAATGATTTCTCAGCGTTCGATTCGATCTCATTGGCGCGAGCTTATTTTTCTCTAAGCGATTTCAAGCGAATGCTTCGAATTCAAGCGGTAACTTGGATGCACGATACCGTGCAAAATTCTTTCATGTATATCTCTCTCCATGCTATACAAAGGTTCATTTACTTTACCTACCGATCGTGGAATTTCAAAAGTTCAATTATTTTCTGGTATTCCATCGCTCTATTGCGTTTCAACCAAGTGTATAGTCGGGGGCGGAAATATAGCGCAATTTAACGATTAGACTGTGGATATTTATGACATATGAAAATACTTAGAGTAAAATAAAATATTTCAAAGTATTTTTAGAAGAAAGTATAAATTTAAATAGGCAGGTGCCTATTTTGCTTAGCGATAAACGCGGCCCTGTTGGTATTAGTAGATCTACCTAAGTGCTAATTCCAAGTTTACATGGTATGTGCCTCAACAGGACCCGAACTCTTTATCTTCCCAACACCCGTGTTTCGCTGCTTGAATTTTATGTTTTCTCACGGTTGAACAATTTTACGACAATGCTATACCTCCCAACCCGACTATACTACCATCTGGTAATAATACGCCTCGTACTCGAAACAGAATGGATATTCGCAACAACTTTCTCGCAAACTTAAAACCAATAATCGTTTAATAGAAATGAATATAATTGAAGTAGTGTACTTTGTTTATGTATATTTTTATGACAATCTGAATGCGACAGGATTAACAATAAGATTGCAAATGAATGAATATAATTACAAAGATTACACGTAATAGATAGGATACAAAGATACAAGTCAACATTAAAATAGAAACGTAACATGTATATTAAAAATAACAGATGCTAAGAACAATAATGCAAAGCAACAGTAATACAATAGCTATAAAAAATGGGGAACTAATAAACGTAATTAAAAATAATATAAATGGTTGATATAACGTTATAGGCTAAAGTCTGTTATGAAAAATTAAATAATCGATCGGTAGCTAAATTATTGATTAAAAATTGTTCATTCAACGTTACACATCGATCTTTTGCACGGTATTGTTGATCGCTAACTGTTTAATCTGTTGAACGTTGCACATCCAAAACATATTTGTATGCACGTAAAACAGTGCACACAAGCATAACTTCATACATATACAAAAGTATCGACAGAGACTTCTTAAGCAACGATAATACACAAGAACGGTCGCACAATTAGCGCAATATTTATACCAATAATTCTTATGCAATTGCTTGGCTATCGGCGTTCAATAATTAAATACAACCGACGATGGTGTGCTCAACTTCGAAACTGCGAGGAAATTCGTTTGAACGTGTGAGTGTGTCTGTGCGAGTATAAAATTGTTAAGTGTATATGTTGTGAGCATGTAAATTGTTTAAATCAGTGTAATTATTTGATTATAAAATTCAGTGGATATTTGATAAGATAATCGAGGAATTTTATGGCTATTCTTGGATTTCTATTCTCTGTAGTTAAAGAAGAGTGCTATCGTCAGCAGAACGGAAGCAAAGTCTAGAATCTTGCATCGAATCGATAGGAAAGACGGAAGGATAAATATATTCAGAATATATTCTCTTCATAGATTTCACGGTAGGATTCGGAAAGCACTCTCATCTCAGACGAGAGCACTTGGAGAGGTTGGCAACTTTGCCAAATGTCCTTTTTGCTGGCTGCGAATCTCATCGATTGTTTTCTTCCACCTTTTCATAATATTTCCGTTCCTCATTCTCGCGTCCCCATTATATTTGATATGTTATTAAGAAATTTAAAACGAAAATCATTTGACAGAAATGTTTTTAATGAATTTCAAAATTATCACAGTTTCACCATTTCTTCTATTAAAAAATAATACTAATCCATATTATTAAAAATAAAAAATATGGATAATTCTGAAGCCTGAAATTAAAACTGCTTCGAAAACAAGAATGATTGATGAAGCCAAATATTACAGAATCATTGAATACATAAATCATTTTCTAAGCAATTCCAACTTGACCTCTTTTCATTCTCTGGCTATAATAAAAGAATTTATCCCCGCGTTTAATATAAATTTGATAAATATTAGATCTCAAAATTGGTAACTTTTCATTTCTTTTTCCATGGAATTACAGGAATCATATTTATTGATTTTTATTAATAAAAATAATAAAATTCAGAAGAAAATTTAAGCGCCACTAATATCTTCTTAAGGAAAATTTGCTTTATAGGGTAGTTGCGAAGAAACTAAACTGAGAAAATTAATGGTAGAAAACACGTTCGGGCTTCGGTGCCAGGATCCAGTATCGGAAACCGCAAAAGTTGGCGTACTTTCGCGAACGGTACAAGATTCATCGCACCGTGAATTTTGCTTAGCTAGTCAAACCGAAATTAATCGCGTTCCTTTCTGCCAGGAACCGCAAACATACATACGTTCGTAACATGTAGCTAACAAGCCTCCGGAGACCACTCAACAGGTACACCGTTTTATCAGCCACATCAGAGGCTTTCTGGTAAATCAACTTAATCGCGTCTTGCGTGTGTAAATATACGTTCCCTTGATATTTGTTCTACCTTTGCTTATGAAAATCATGGCATCTAATTTAAATTCTATTGAAACTTTATGACACTATTTAAAAATTAAAAAAACAGTCATTGAAGTGACTGGGCAGGGGTCAAAGTTGGCTTGGCAGCCTTAGCAAAAATGGTCCCTCCTTAAAAATGTGAACTGTCACCATTCTAAAATTTCTCAATTCCTCTTCTCCCTATTTGAAACGAATAATCTAATAATAAATAACTGAAACATTAAACTACCGCGAGAATATTAAATATTATATGATAAATTAATTGGCGCCAAATTGGAAACGTAAGTTAAAGTGGCACAATTTGGGCAACTCATTTCCGTATGTATATTTGCATGGACATCAGCATCCGGTTTATCGCAAACTAAATTGTACAAATATATGCTGAAATTTTACTAGCACCCCGTGAAACTAATTAAGGCAATTTGACGTTTAGAATGATAAATGCGCTTCACATCTGTTTACGTGTATGAACGTGACGTTTACCACGATATGGTAAACTAAAGTCAGCCAGACGGATGAAATTAATTAAAAAGCCTCGCGAGCATGAAAGATTATTTTCATCGGCCTGAAAATCTAAATGAACTTTACCGGCGGTCGTTCCCGGTTATACTGGCTGAGGGTTTAATACACTAGAAAATAGCATCAAAGTTCACTTTCGAGTGGTGTGCAATTAATCATGAACAGGCTGGTTGCACTTTCTTAATAGAAAATTTATTTCAAACATTACTGTATTTTTAATTGTGTTCAAGGAATTAATTGACTTTAGTTATTGAAAAATTTGTTTAACATTATTCTAATTATTTTTTCATTGATATTTTCTTATATATTTTCAGCAATATTATTGTAAGTCCAATTACCAAAATTTTGTCAGACACATGTAAAATTGTCTGATACTAATTAAGGTATTAATTTCTTTAAGAAAGGATTGTACAAAATTAACATAGATTTGCATTGTTCCAAGCAAATGAGCTTTGACTAATCTTTTTTTCACAATTTCTACGGTGACAAAGGGTGGCAACCCTCCGTTGTCATTTGTCATCAGCACTGTAGCAGTTCGTCGAATCGCCAGTGATGAATCGCACAAAACGAATGATGGATGTTCCATCTGCCCTAGTACGTTTGTTATTTTTTTCAGAACTATTAATGCTTCGTCTTTAATCCCCTATAGCCGTTACGATTCTTCTTATTGAATACGTATTTGAGAAATTTTTTTATAAATTCTAACCTTACGCTAACATAATAAATATTATAAATATTTCATAACTATTTATTTATTTTATTTTATATTCAACCTTTCCTGGTCAGTTTGCAGTTAGATATAAGAACAAAGGAACCAAGAGACAAATGAAACTTCATTGAGAAAAATGTGTTCCCGGAACTATTAACAACTTTATTTTTCACATAGTAACATCTATAACTGCAAACTGTGACCAAAAGCGTAAAATCCATTTACGAAGGGAATTCTGGAAAAGTCGTTATCGGTTTTTCCTCTCCCAAGTTCTCTCCTATCAGTTTTACTCTTAGTTTCAACGTCGAACGACAAATTGCGTTTGATGGGTCGATCGAGTTTCGAAAATTGTATTCCTGGAAAAAAGGGTAATATCGAAGAGATACGTTCGCGTTTACCATAGCGAATTGAAAGAACTATTTAAAATCTGATTTCTAAGAACCATACTAAACTATACAATAACTGATGTCTTAAACCAAAACTTTATTGTCAAAGAGATTTTAAACGATTTTGAATCGTG